TGCATTTAATCCCGCATGGCGTAGACCCCACGAGGGATTTGCAAATGGCTGACCAGGATCATATGGATGAACCGCATACTTGTGCACCACCCTGCGCAGACCCCACGGGTGATCTACAAATGACCGACCAACAAAACCAGCCTGAGATCCCCGCCAATCTCTGTGGTCTGACTGCAACTAATAGCTGCCTTCRCGTTCTCAATCGGCCGTTGTATACACCATCAGATTTCCTTGCGATTGCYCTGCAGCTTGATGTTGATCTSGCTAATCTCGCTGATCCCCCCGACCTACAGCCAGAGCATCGTAATTACACCAGGGAAGGAGGTTTTACCATTGCTGTCCTAGAAATAGCGATGAGGAACTGCAAGCTTGAACTACGCCATGCTCTACCAGGTGAGCTGTTTAATCCTCCATCCCGCATCTCTGCTTGCATTGTGCATGGGCCTGGCCATTACACGGCCATTGTACACGCCTCTGACCATTGGGAGGTGTGGAACGACGGTGTCATGGTCCATGCCATGATTGATATTACTGATTTCTCACTCTATGATGCTGTTCTCTTGCCACATTAAACCGTCCGCAACCTCCTTTATGTCGAAGATCATTCCTCTGGCACCGTAGTGCAGCAGTACAATGTACAGACACTGTGTGACCTTCTCCTTTGCACAGCCACRGACACTGTTGCACTTGGGTGTACTCGCCATCATCTTTGTCACAATCACTACTACGAGATGGTTTCTGCATCCATGTGTGTACAGGATTGTCCCTCCGTTCCTGACTGCAGGCACCCTTCTCATCCGGACACTATATGTCCATTTTGTGGCCACGGACGCTATGCTGAATGCATGCTCTTTTGTGGGGGGCGTTCTTCCTTTATTCTGGCCTGCAATAGATTTGTTATTTGTCCGGAATGTATGGTTGGCGTGCTTAATGCCAGCCGTCGTGGCAGTTGTTGTTTTGAGAATGCTCAGTTAGGTCTTCCATGCGCTCATCCACACCATCCTTACAATGTGTGTCCTTTCTGTCGTCAAGGACAGCCTTATTCTTGAGTTTTTCCCAGTGTTTAACACCTTCCCCTTCACTCTGCCTCTCTCACAGCGTGCAAGTGGGCTGTTATGGCATACGGGGATGGGGGCAGCTCGCGCTCAACTTCATCAACGTGGCGAGCCTTGCACGTGAGAGGCAGAGTGGAAGTGGAGTTCAAAGAAGAATGAGAAATTTAATGGTTCAATCTGCCCTTGTTTTTTCTTTTTCTTTTTATTTTTATTTTTGCATGTTATCACTGTGCCCGTTTTTTGCTTTTGTTCTTTGTTTCGCAAAATGCGCTCTTTTAGTTTGTAGTTATGCGACAATATATATAGGGTCACCAGCCCGTACGTACGGAGGTCCCCGGGCAAACAGTTTGATATTTGCCCTGTAAACCATTGCGAGATCTTAAAAAAAACAAAAAAAAAACACGGAAAAATAGTCCGCGTGCGCGTGCAGCAGAGCAACACACACATAGATAGATAGATAGATAGATAGATAGATAGATAGATAGATAGAGAGAGAGAGATAGAGAGAGAGAGAGACCCCAAACTAACTACCCCGTCCCCCAAAACGATGACAACGATGACGAACAAGTGTAGTGTCTGTTGAGATCGGTTTGATATCTGACCCGCGGACCATCGGGAGTTCTATAAAAATATAAATAAATGGAAAAACGGCGCGCGCACCAGAGAGACACACACACACACACACACACACACACACACACAGACCCCAAACTAACTAACTTCACCGCCCCCCAAAACGACGACGACGACAACGATCAAGTGTAGTATATGTTCTGATCAGTTTGATATCTGAAGCGTGGACCATCGGGAGTGCGCGCGCGCAGCACACACACACACAGAGAGAGAGAGAGAGAGAGAGACCCCAAACTAACTACCCGGCTCATCCCCCATGACTTTTCTGCCCCTGTTGCCCTCTGAACCGTGGACCATCGGCAACACACACACAGAGAGAGAGAGAGAGAGAGAGAGAGAGAGAGAGAGAGATCAAACTAACTACTCGGCTCATCCCCCACGACTTCTCTGCCCCTGTCGCCCTCCTCCACGCTCTTCCCCCGCTTCTTCACTCTCCCCGCTCCTCCGCCACACCTCCACAACTCGGGGAAAAAGGACGTGCCTCCCTGCCGGTCTTTCTCTATGTGTCTGGCGCCAAGCTTGCCCAGGAAGGTACATGAGGCCACCGAGGATTGAACCCAAGACCTCATGAATGCCACTTGCGTGCCATACCAACCAAGGTATGCCCCTGAATTTCAGTCTAGAGTCGGGTAAGACAGTAGGGGTATAGACATAGCATGCCAGTTGTTACAGGACCTCCCCAACTAGCAGGAGGTGCTGCACACACATTGCCATAGCTGTTAGGGCACAACCCCCCACTGGACCATGAGTCTAAAAACACCCCCCACCACCACCCCAAAACCCACTAACCCACCCCCCCGGCTCATTTCTCCCTCTCCCATTTTCCCCTCAATCCCTTGCCAGCGAAGCCGCAACAGGTACCCTTCTTTCTTTGAAGGTTTTAACCGGATTTCTTTTAATGACCAGTATAAAGAACTTATGAGATTTATGGAAAGTTGAACTATGACTGGGGCTTAAGTGTGTGAGGGGTGGTGTGAGTTACAGGGAACAGTAAAGTTGACCACATTGGTGTTTGACAATGTGGCTATTGTGTGTCTCTGTGTTTTATGCAGGTTAGTATTTTGGAGCTTGTTATATGGGTCATACTTTGGAGGCAGTGAGAATGACAACCATGTGTCGCACGATCTGCATACCTGATGGGTTTATGTTTCCCCCTTCCTTTATTTTATCTCGATATGTGATTTGATATATGAGTGTTGGGATGTTTATTTATGTATTGATTGATTTTGCTTATTAATTTTTATAGTTGGACGTTAGAGTCTGTGGCAGCCGTCAAAGTCAAACCCCTTGACTTCTTTTCAGACCCTGGATGATGGAGCTGGTCTTTAGGGCAATAAGAGACGATTGCCACCACAGGTATGAACCTGTGTACCACCCACTCTTCACAGGGTGCAGAAGAGGGTGTGGTTTTCAACCGCACTTGGCGGTCGTCCAAGGCGAGAGATTAACCCTCAGGGCGCATGTCAGCCGACACTTGAGTGTCAAATGCGACCCTCGAGATCAACGAGGACCGCATGAGTATGGGTACTACATAATACGCCATCATTGTGACCGCTTGCATACGCATGCATTGCGAGTTGATATGAGTTAGCCATGTGTCTGCGCGGTTTTATACTAAGTCTCGCGCGCGACGCCTATCCGATTTCCGCATCGGAGAGTTATGGGATGGCTACTAAGGGACTAGGAGTGTTGTCGCGTTGTTTGATATGTGTGTGTGTGTTTTATTTTTATGTTCCTTATAGTGGTGTGCGCGTGGTGTGTGGGATGCGTCCTAGTCGACCGACGACGGGTCGCACTTGAGACCTCAGCCCCCCAAGATGTCGGTTCGCGTGTGGGTCCGATAGAGGCGTATTACCGTGCGTACCCCCTGTGCTACAGCGAACGGAAACGCCCTCGGCTGGTCCACCTCTGCGATTGCAACTGATCAACTTTCGTACTGTGGACTGGTAGCTCGGCAGGGATACGCCCACCGAAGGGAGGTGACAGCTCCCGTAAGATGGAGGTAAGTCGTGCCTCGCGTAGGCCCTATCCTGTCGTAGGGGCTCGCGAGAGGTATGGCTGGCGCACTCGGTCGGAGCGGCTTGCGGAAGCTCGATGTGTATTCGCGAAGAGGATTAAAAACCAACTCCTGCGTGACGCGGCCGGGAGGGTCCCGCGCTGCCCTGTGCAGTGCCGGACCGATGCGCTCGACAGGTGGCGCCGTTGCCGGGGATAACGGTTGCCGACCGTTGTCCCTGGTGGAACGACATCCGGGTATGAGAAAGTGAGAACTAGGCAAAATGAGAAGTTTTCTTTTGACGTACATGGTCGATTGCTTGATGCCTTGACTATCGTTGGGGATAAGCGTGAAGCATTGATTATTAGCGTATGCGCGGTTTACTTGAGGAAGGAAGTGTTTGGCTATACTATTAAGTACTCTGACGCATATAATAGTGGTCTCAACGAGCACCTTGTCATTTTAAGTATCTTTTGATAATTGGGCGATATGTGGCGTGCCTGATGCGGCCTTGGTTGAGTTGAGGCAGCATTCGCATTGTTGGGCATATCTATTATCGAAGCAAGCTCAGTTCATAACTGTCAAAGCTGTGAGGCTAGTGACTTATTACGTGAGTTATGTGCTAAGCTTGCTTGAGGATGTAAAGACGTTAAGTTGAGGCGTCTCCCCCCGGTCAGTAAAGTGTCGCTTTAGAGGAGGTTTCTAGTACGTGAGTGACATGAGTGAGGGGGTAACTGATAAGTGCGAAATGGGAGGTTTGATGACAAAGGTCTTTCCTTGAGCCCATATGAAGTTGTGGTGCGATGGTTAGTGCAATTAATATTGTGCCTTGACCCTTCGGTGGTATCAGTTGACGACAAAATTGAGTCACCTAGAGGATTGTATAAATGTAACTGTCGATAAAAGTTGAGAAGTAGTGGTTACTTAGCTAGCGGTTTGGCTAACCCGAAGAGAGGCTTATGTCTTAAGTTTGTGTGAATATATATATATTGGTTTTTATAACAATTTTTATGTATTTGCCTGATGTTTGATTGATGATGTATGTATGGCTTGCCTTTCAAAGAGGACATAGACGTTGCATGAAACCCACATCTGACATGGGACCAGAGGTGAATGGGGTGACTCACTCCTAGGGAAGGTGGTTCTTCCTAAGGGAAGTTAGTCGGCATGTATAGATTGTCCTCAGTGGAAGTGCATTCTTAAAATGTTATCCCCTCGTTGAGACTTAAGGAAGCCGTTATCAGTCTTAAGAATGATAGTGAGACCCACGCCGGAACTATGTTCCTGGTCCATGGTGGGATGTTGTTATCTTTCCTTTGAATAGGAAAGTAACTACATTATCAGGTAAAAGAGGAGGAAAAAGTTTATTCCCTTACTTAAATATGCCTGAGTGTTTATTGGTTTCATCTGGACTCATCTTCAAGTGGAAGATATTTTTAAAGGTTATATGGATGGTCCATCCATGAGTGGGAGGATGGCTGAAAGATTTTTATGGTTGATTCTCCTTCAAGAAGGAAGGGGTCTTAATAAATTTTATGGAACGGTCATCCCTGAGTGGCAGGGTGGCTTGAAAGATTTTATGATATAAGAGTTTTATCCTCCGCCAGAATCGACAACTTCATTCTGATGGTTCTCAATTGCTGGTGGGGGCGTCGTCTGCGGCATGGAAACCCACCTGATTCTGGGACCCCTCATGTTTGGCCTTTGAT